ACAGAGTGTTCATGCATATGAACACAATCATGCTGGGTACGTGCTCCTATTTTAAAGATTTTGAAATGTCTTCTATAAGCATATAGACAGGCAAAGCCAATTTGAACATAATGGAAGTTCCACATCATTCATTTAGTGAAATTTTTCTTTAACTCTCACTTGGTTTATGCAATAAAAATATGAATGCTCCATCTTAGGAAAGGAGTAGTTCCCAGTAGAACACTGTATTTTGACGTTACCCTTGAAATTCTGATTAATGCAGTGTCCCTTCCACAAGGGGGACAGTACTGGGCTTCCACAATACAACTGCTAAACTCTCCTCCTTTCTAGCAGAAGGAATTAAGAACTCAGACTGAAGTCAGACAACTTTAGCTCAAATCTCAGGTGTACATATGCCTAGCTATGTGACTCTGGGCTAGTTAGCTAACAGAGTGATGTTGCACCTCTCTCCCTTGTAGTTATTTTGTAGGGTCCTTGTGATGACTAAATGTGTTAATCTAGGTAAAAGGATTAAAATAGGACCTGTGTTCCCAGCTAGCATGGGCACAAGCGTCAGTTTTAATGGAAATTAAAATTGAGGTATTCATGCATTTATACAAAAAAGCTTTGTTGGGAGCAATGCTACATAATTCTAGGGAAAAATCATTTGAGTAGGCCTAGTTCTCCTGACTACAGGCCAGCAATAACACTCCAAGACATACTTCCATTTTGGCCTCAGGTCACAAGGGAGATCTCAATGATCCCATGATGCTGTAATCCTCCAGGACAAGACCACACCTGTGGGAGCCGCCCTGGGAGGAACCAAATCTTCATCTGTGTAGTTCCTGGGAGGAACTAAATCTTCATCTGCATAGTTCCTCAGTGTTCTTAGATTTCCGCTGCCCCCACCCAGTCTTTTGTTACACCTTGTTCATCCCAATATGATGCTGAAATCTACATTATTCATTTGTTACATTTGTTTCTTTGGATGTACTGAATAAAAGGTGCTGCAAGCTAGGGGGCTTTTGTCTTTGCCGCCTAGAGCAGCACTGATCAGACCCAAAGCTCAGCTTCTTCTCAGTCTCATTTGTCTACCTTTCCTGTAATTCGCCATGTGCTGCCGTGGCTCGCAGGAGACTGGGACTTACTGCAGCGGTTCTGGTAACGTCCCCTTCCCCTGTTCCCTACAAAGCTTTAATTGGAAAGTATGAGAAAATGAAGTTGAGGGTAGCCACAACTCTGCCAATGATCGAGCTAATCACTTAACAAAGTGTGAAAAGATAGACAAGACACCTTAGTTTGAGAAACTGAAAGGAACACAGGTCTGAAAAGTTGGATTCAATTGGCCAGTGACCAGTTTCATGGTGTACTATGGTGGACTGGAGTCCTGGAGTCCTGCCGATCATTATTCCAGTCCTAGTTATGTAGCTTTGGAGGAATGCCTGTAACTTGAGGGCTAATTCAGTTCCCATGAGATGATTGCGGTGCTTAGAACAGTCTCAGTCATGTGAAGCTCTGCTGGAATCTAAGGTGACCCTGGATTTAGGGCAATGGAGACTTCTGGCATAGCTGAATTTCCTGTAAATCTCTTGTCTTGGTATTCTTAATCTTGAAGGGGAATGAGATAGGCTAGGTAAAGTTAGAGCTAATAAATACTGTTTTCCCACCTTTTCTTAAATGATTCACATACCTATACCCATAGTTTAAGGTCATAAAAGATACAAAATGAAGGCCATCTTTGTTCTACTTTTAATTACAACTGGCCATCTCTAGTCCCAAGTGAAGACTCCTGATTTTTTCCCTTTTATCAAAAACCACTTTTAAGTCTCTGACTGCTTCAGAAGAAAACACCAATCATACTTTTAATGTGTGACAGGTTAAAGGCCTGAGAGTTTGTCCTCTGTCTCTATAAAAATCCCTGTTCTCTATGCCACTTGGCACATTATCATTCTAGACACATTTCCTGCTGTTGCTATTGTTATTACTGCCGCTGTTACTGTTATTTTTGTTGCCGTTGTTGTTTCTGAGTGTTAATCCTGATGTGTCACCTTTATTGGATTAACAAACACCCACGAGATTCGTAAAGCACACTTCTGGATGCTTCTGGGTTGGTCATGGAGGTGTGATGCTGAGCACTATGTCTGGTCTCTAGTTCCTTCCTCCCTGGCTCTGTTCCCCTGCTCTGCTTCCTGGCTGCCTTGAACTAAGTGTTTTTGCTGCCACACCCTTATGCCATAATGTTTCTTCCTTGAAGCTAGCCATGGAACAAATCCTCTGAAACCATGAGACAAATAAACTACTCCTCCTTTAAATTGTGGGTAGTGGGTATTTTTCTCCCAGTGATGAGAAAGCCAGAATACAAAATTGGAAAATCGGATACAGAGAAGGGCAGTCATTGCTATGACTGTACATATCTATGTAGTTCAGAACTTTGGAACTGGTTTGCAGAAAGAGTTTAAAAGTATGGTAAATTGGACCAGAGAAAGCATGGGGGGCTGTAAGAGGAACCTGGTGGGTGATTATTATCAGAGTTCAGAAGACCAGATTGCTGATGGAAATATGGATAGTAAAGTTCAGGCTCTGGAGGTCTGGAAACAGAGTCTTTATTAAGAAATGGACTAGAAGACCCTATATGTTGAACTCTGGCAAAAAGTCTCCATTTTGCCCAATTCCTGACATTTTGCAGGAGAGTGAAATTAAGGGTAGTAGACTAGTTGCTCTGGCAGAGGAAACTTCAAAGCAGCTTGGAATTTAGGCTGTGGTAAGGATACTGCTGGGTGCTTTTTATCAGAATTTATAATAAGAATTGGGTGCGAAAAGCAGAATAGAATAATTTGCACAATGTAAATTTTGGTTTAGAAGAAAGCATGTATAAAGCTGAGGCCAAAGGAAGTGTGGCTGCTGAAGAGATTAGTGCCATTAGAAAGAAGATAGATGCACCATTAGAAAGAAACTGAGTATTTTGTACAGGGAGGAGAAGAAGAAAGATGCCTTGAGGGTATCTCAGGAATCAGCAAGACACCACTCATCACAGATTCAACTATGCAGAATGATAAACCTGCTATTTTAGAAAAGAGCCCTTGTGCCCCCTGCTCTAGAAAGCCCAACCAGGGAATTTGTTTCCAGTGATTCACCATGTGCAGCTATTCAGGCATTCAGAGACTGGTGCAGTCATGGTCCAAGGGGGCCTGGTTACTAATCCCACTGACACCCGACCTTGGCTTTGTCCACGTGATGCTTCCTTGAGAGATGGCTGCAAGAAGCTGCAGGAACAAAGTCAAAGGTATGCTACAGACCCCAAGAAATCAGAGATTCCAGGAACATGAAACCTCTGCCAAGGAAAGCTGTAGGTAATCAGCAGAGCCAGCCTAATAGAGATGTTATGTGGGGTGCAACCATACTGGATCCTTCTGGAATTCACATCTCACACCTTCAATCCTAGAGGCTGAGCATGGAGCTACAGCACTTAATGTAGCCCCACTGGGCTTTGGGTCCTATTCTTTTCTGTTCCCTAGCCTTCCCCTTTGAAATGGGAAGGTTTAATATGTGCCATTGTACCTGTAACTTTAAAAAAATTTTTTTACTGAAGCTTATAGCAAAGAGTTTTCCTCAAGTCTCAGAACAGACTGACTTGGACTGAAAAATGCTATAACTGTGGATATTTTGGGGAGGGAATTAATGCATTTATGGTTGTGTGCAAGATAGTTGTATCATGTTAAGTGAAATTATGAAGTTGATCCTGTCTTTGTTTGGAGATTAAGTATTATTTTAGTTACTTTTCTTGTTGCTGAGACACACACAATACCCAACACCCAACACCCAAAATCAGAGGAGAAAAGGTTTATTTGGCTCACAGTTTGTAGAAGTTTCAGATCATGGTTGGCTGGCTCCAAGGTAGGGTGGCATGGCAGAGGGGCATTGCAAAGGAGAAACAGTCCATGGCAAGCAGGCAGGTGAGAGTACATCAACTCTTTTTCAGTCCCTCATATTTTATGAAGGATACCTTCCCTAGGGCAGGTATAGCACCCATACCCTTAATCCTAGCAAGAACTGTGCCAAACCAATCAGTGGACTGATTTAGTAATCACCCACCCGTGATTCCAGCACCATATACCTGAGATCCAGCCACCTCTGAAAAGCCCCACCTATGACAGCACAAGTCTTTGGAAGCACATCTAGATAATTTAAGTATAATTTAAGGAGATGTCTCTGTCAAGTAGACAAGGAATGAATTGTGACCATTAATCAACTTGACTGGATTAAGAAACATCCAAGGCATTAGTAAAGTACACTCCTGGGTATATCTGAGTGGTAGGTACTTTAGGTAGTAGAAATGATCCCTTACCCATTCCTCTCTGGCACCGTTCTCCTGCTCTACATCCCAACCAGCATGAATTAAGCATCTTTGCTCTGCTATGCACTTACTCTACAACGTTTCTGTCTTGGAACCAGCCAGCCATGGAATGAATCATCTGAAATTGTGAGCCAAATAAAATTCCCTCCTTTTAAATCGTGGGTGTTGGGTATTTTCTCCCAGAAGGGGAAAGTTGACTAATACACTTTTTTGTTGTTGTTGCCACTGCTGCTATTTTTGATGTCATCGCAATAGTTGCTGCTGTTGTAAGAATTTACATGGCCTTTAAGAGCACAGAAAAGATTATAATACAGGTCTAAGTTTGGATCCCAGCTTTGTCATTTACTAGCTATGTAATCTTGAGCCACTTAATATCAAATTTTCCTGGGCTTCATTTTCTTCACTGGTAAAATAAAGATAATAATACCCATTATTAAGGTCTGCTCTGGTTCTGTACTTAGAAAAAATTGGGGGAAATTTTGGATTTCTATTCTCATTCCTGTTTGACCTTGTTCAAATTATTTCACCCAAATGTGTTCACTGTGAAGATTAAATGAGCTGATACATACAAAGGGCTTGAAAATTTGTCTGAAATTTTGTAGGGGTGAAATAAATTATAACAAATACTATTGCTTACCCATTTTACATTAATATTAATGTTTTATAGGAAATGAGGAACATGGAAGATATTTTCTGCTGAATCTGTGGGGCTACAACACACACTGCCAGCAGGGCCATGTGATCACGCTGGCACTATGATTCTGGTTGGTGTTCAAGGTTGTATTAATTCTTTGCCCAGGGCTTCCTTCTGCCGGAAAGGTAAGGCTGGCCAGACCCTTTCAGAAGTGCTTTAAATGCCACATGCTTTTCTCCTGCTTTTGCAAGCTAACTGTAATCTGGGGCTGTATTCCACTGCTGCATCTCTTACCAGACTTACCTTAAATTACCATGGCTGAGCATATTTTTCTCCTCAAGAAGACCACAATTACTGTGAAGGCCTTCTCTGTGCATGACTCATCACCCTAATCTCCTTGCTGTCGTGATGCATGGATCTTAGGAGGACTTCTATAAGTATTTGCTGTGAATAAATAAATGAATGAATAAATGAAAAGCTAATGGCTTGGGTGATTAAGGGTGAATTAGTCTGAGAGGAGAGACAACCAGCATTTGCAGAAAACAAATGAAAGTTCATAGTTCCCTGTTAGAATATCAAAGCCACAAGGTATGAAAAAAACTATCTGGAAGACAGGGCTGCTATCTGAGCCTATGAACCGGGAAGAATTCTGGGTTGTCAAAAAAATCAAACTGGGCTTGGTGGCACACATTTATAATTCCAACACTCTAGGAAGATGCAGGAAGATTCCAAATTTGTGCCCTGCCTGGGCAATTTAGGGACTTAGGAAGACTCTGACTCAAAAAATATACATATAAGGTAAGGGATATAGCTCAGTGCAAAAGGCCTATGTTCAAACATCAGTACCTAAATAAATAAATAAAATTTGGTCATTCAACAAATATTTGCTTAATACTGATTATTGGCTTTATCAAGATTGCTCAGGGTAGAGCAGACTATATTTAGAAGTTTAATTTATTCTAGACTCATAGGACCTCAGAGATGAAAGTGGTATAGGATCATTCTATGTATGGTTTCTCAGATGGTGCAGTGAGGGATACTAGCTCCCAAGGAGGTGTTTTATGAACAAATGAATAAATAGACAGTTCTATAATCTCTTAAAATTGGAGGATGCTCTATCCTGTATCTCTCTTTTCTCCAGATTAAATAAGTATATCGATGGACAATGGCTCACCAATAATTTCCTAGGCATTTGTAAGGTTTTGTATTAAATTATTTAAAGTGTGCTTTTACACAATTTTGTTCTTTATTATCATTTTAAAATTAGGAGTGAATTTTGGGGGAAAGAATATTATAAACAGTATTGGATGAAAACATTTTTTGTGCAGAAATTTGTTCTCATGGAAAAGCAGAGATGGTGCACAAATTATCTAACCACAGCCCCTGGTAGTCAGCATACTAAGCACTTAGTGAACTATGGTTGTTCTGACTATCATTAACAATAGTACAAAGAGTGGCAGCAGCGTTCACTATTCCAGATTTAAATGTCAGATTTGTTAACTTAATAGCTGTGTGACATGGAACACAGGGAAGCGTTTCTTTGAGTGTCGGTTTGGGAAGACCAAATCAAAGGAAGGAATAAGTCAAGTGTAATGGGCTGCACAAACGCTTTATAGTATAAACTATAAAATGTCATCCCTTGGCCTTGAATTACACCTTTAAATATTCCAAAACAATCCATTCTTTTGGTCTAATCATATGTAGGATGCTGTGCTGACATCATATTTAGAGTGTCCAGACAAAATACAAGATTTTCCACTAAACTTCAATTTCAGAAAAACTACATGTTTTGGTGTATGTACCATACACTAATGCTAAAATATTATTTATTGTTTATCCAAAATTCAATTTAGTGACACATTTAGAACTTTTCTTAAATCTGGCAAACCTAATTGTGTTTTAATGGAGACGTTTACAAAGTGGAGCACAATTCCTGTGTCCAGTATAATTAGTAGCATCTTGGAGATGAGGAAACTGACTAGATGACTCTTACATTTATTTCAAACTTCAGGATTTTATGACTGTTAGAAGGCAGCTGATGCAATCAGCCTTACTCCAACTTTTCAGCCTTGCTGCTTGCTGCTTATGTGAATTTGGTTAATTTAGTCTATGAAAGTTTACTTTTATTATTAGTATTATGTAGAATTGTCTTCCTTCTCAGACAGTTGCTTTCTCCTTAATGGATTTTCATTATCCTATTTTTAGCACTGATTTCTGAGCTATATTATCACAGTTTTAATTTTCTCTTCAAACAACACAAATGCGACAGTCTAACTGTCCATCTTTTTGACTAAGTTAATTTTCCAGAAGAATTCAGAAAGATTTCCCTTTCCCACAGGACCTCCAGTCTCAGAAGAGGTTTCGAAATCTTCCTGCACTATGATATCACCTCTGAGGCTGGAGGGCTTTGGTTGCTTTCCATCCTTTTGTTTTGTAGTTGGGGGGTGGGGGGGAGAGGAAGATGAGAGAGAGAGAGAGAGAGAGAGAGAGAGAGTTCTAAGTCCATGAAGTAGTAGCCTAAAAAAAGAGGGAATTTGTAGTCAGTATCTCTACCTTGGCACCCTGCTGGGGGTAGGAGAACTCCTTCTGAACTGGGCTGCAGCCAGCTATTGTTCAGGGAGCCCCCTTCTTTGTTCCAGCGACTGTGTGTTCTGGGCATGTCAGAGGCACAACCTCACCTCATCCTCACACAGCCCTGTAAAACAGATATACATTATTGTCATAGTGGCAGAAGAAACTGTTTGCCTAGGCTGGCCTGAAAATCCACATCTGTCAGATCCTTGGGTCATGAGAAGAATATTAACCTGGCCCCTGGATGCCTGGTTAGTGAATAGCAGGTTAGTCATCCTCAAATTACCCATTTGCTCCTCCTGAGGGTTGTTTTAGATGAGATCTGCATGGATATTTTTGTCGCAGAGATGTGATGCCTCAGCAGGTTTGATGGAATGTTTAGCACATTTCTTTCTTTCCCTGTGGGAGCTGGCTTTCTACAAGTCACCAAGTGAACAGAATGGCTCGGAGTTGTTATTTATAAATAATTTTTGAAAACACACAAATAGCACATGTATCTTAGTGAATTTGGACTGCTGTAACAGAATATAACCAATCGAGATCTTATTATTTCTCAGAGTTCTGGAGGCTGGGAAGTCCAGGATCAAGGTGGCAGCAGATCTAGTTTCTGGGAGGGTTCTCTTCTGGTTTGCAGATTTTTTTTTTTTTTAATGTGTCCTAACAGGGTGGAGGGGGAGAGAGAGAAAGGGATGATAGAGAGAGTGGTGGAGGGAGGAAGAGAGAGAGAGAGCCTTAGTGAATGTACCTATGCTAATGCAGCACTCTGTTCTCTTTCATCCTTTTAAGGGCACTAACCCACTATTGAGGGCTCTACACCACCACCACCCGCCCCCCGCCCGCAACATAATTGTCTTCCCAAAGCCCTACCTCCTAATACCATCTTTTTGAGGGTTAGAGCTTCAGTATGAATTGTGGTGGGGAACATTCAGTCTATAGTAGCATGTCCATTGTTTAAAATAGAATTATAATGCTATAGATTAAAAATAACTCTCCAAATTCTATTGTCTCCCAGTTTTGGGGATATGCATTGAATTGTTTTGTCTGGGGACATTGTTAACATTCTGTTTCAATGTAAGATAGATGCATACATAGCCAGGCAGATAGGGATAGAGATACATTGCAAAGACGTACATTTAAGATGTAGTAGTTGTTCTTTTATAAAACAATATCACATGGAACACATACTGTGGAATCAACTATGTTTTTCATTCAACGATATACATTCCCAACATATATCACCCAACAGAACTTATATTTTTATTGGGGAGATCACCAATGTATATATGATATTTTAAAGGCATATTACATTAAAGTCTAAATTATAGGGCACAGAATCTATATTTTTAGATTTGTAGAGCTGTTCTTGAAATACTAGTTGTGATTGGTAGCCCATATTCTACTTCCCCTTAATTACACTAATCTCCCTGAAAAAGGAATACAGGAGAAAGAGTTGCATTCATAATAACAGTTCTTTAGACCTTATAAACAGGGTGCATCACTTTTTATAGCTGCCTCATATCTAGATGAATATTTTCTAACTTAACTTTGCCTTGAAATATTTCTTGAGTCGCTTGAAAAGCAGATCTGTTCTTACTCTCTGAAATACACCAAGGCTGCCTGTCTTGACAGTTTCACAGAGTGAAACAAAAAATTTCAAACTCCACTTAAAAATTAAATAGTGAAAGAACATGCCACCTAACGTACTGTGTTATTTTAGGCACCGCAACCACATTGCCTAGAAAATTGTCCAGGTTCTTTAATTCGCCCGGTGATGGGCAATCCAAAGTGAAGTGATAGAGTCACTGTAATGTTCATGGAGTGTATGTTCTGGGGATAAATTCCACAGAGACGAGTTCTGTTTAGATCAGTTAAAGGAGCAGAGAAAATTATACCTTCTTGGAGCTAAGGGCTTTTTATTACCTAGATGCTCCATAAGGTTTTGTTTTGTTTTGTTTTGCTTATCTTGAAAGGTGACTTTCCAACTTCCTCTCCCCACATTTCCCCCCCAGGGGAAAGATTCCTTTTGCAATAGAAGGCAATGACAAAAACAGGCAGACATTTGTCCAGCTACAGCAAGACTTGAATTGAGTTCAACATTGCTGCATACCTTGTCCGTTGAACTTGGATAAGTTAGGAGGTCTCAGTATCCTCATTTATCAAGTAGAAATAATGACCCTTGGTTTCAGTGAAAATAATGCACAGAAAGTGCTTTGCACACTCTAGATCACTTATTATAAAGACAGCTAATGTTTCCTGATCAAGGCATCAAGAGAACCAGGCATGTGCCTTACCTTGTCTGATGCCCCAAATCCCAAGCAGTAGATGCTGTTTCTCTTCTCATTATACAGATAAAACAACTAACATTTCCAGAGGTTTAGTAACTTGCCAAGGCCACAGAGCTTGAACACAGCAGAGCCAAGTAAAAATGTATATTTTCTGTTTACAGCCCTCTCAGTTTGCACTTGGCTGTATTTCAGCTGCTCCAGAGCCACAAGGGACTCATGGCTCCTGATTTGGATGGCATAGATCTCACACTTCTTGGTATCTCTCAGATAGCAGCTACTAGTACAAATGAAACCTGAGATTTAAATTTAGAGTAAGTTTCAAGTGTTTAGCGTAATTTCTAAAACCTGGCGGACTCCAGTAAATGAATAGCTATTATTATTAATATTATTGCTGAACTGTGATGAGTTGAAATTTAGATGAGTTATACATGTAAAATATACATTAGGTTTTGAAGATTTAATATGAAAATAGAAATTTAAATTTCTCAACATTCATATTGACTACATATTGGAAGGGTAATATTTTAGATATATTGGACTAAGTATGACCTACATTAAGGTTAGTTTTGCCTGCTTACTTTTCTAAGGCATTAGAAAATTTAAAATCACATATGTGGCTCTCAGTATTGCTTACATTATATATTTCTGGTGGACATTTCTCTGTGTGAGGTGCCTAGTGTATTTCTGGCTGGTGTCTGGGCTGAGCCCCAGACTAAAAGGTTCTTAGCAGGGAAGATGAGCTTTTTCTTTGGTTTAATTAGCAGGTGCAATGGAAACTGTATCCAAGGTTCACTTCCTCTGATTTTACATTTGCATTTTCCTACAGAGGCCACCAGCTGCTGAAGAGCCAGAGAAGGATAACGTAGTCTGTTCCTTGATGCTTCAGAGCCATTAAACATTTACGACAGAACATTGCCCTTTAATTCAGTAAGCAAATAACAGAGTATTACAATTAGCATCCCTGTAGCTACATTGATGTAATCTAATGGGGTCAGTGCAAATCATATTATTCTGGGGCTCAAAATTCATTTGTGATTAGTAATTTATTCCTAGGTGAAGTGTCGCAGTTTTCTGAAAGTCCTTAGGAAGTGAGCTTTAGCACAATAGCTCTGGAGGGTGTGTGTGTTAGCTTTCTGTCATTGTAAAGAAATACCCGAATTAATCGACTTAGAAAAGAGAAAGATTTATTTTGGCTCACAGTTTTGGAGGGTTCAGTTCGTGATCAATTGGCCATATTGCTGTTGAGCCCATGGTGAGGCAGTGTATCAGGGCAAGAGTACATGGTCAAGGAAGCTGCTTACCTCCTAGCAGCTAGGAAACAGAGAAAGAGGAGGGGTCAGGATCTTACAGACCACTGCAAGCAACACCTCATTGTTGCCACTTCCCAAAAGGACCATGTGCAGGATATCAAATGTGTAACACACTTATTCAAACTATAGCAGAGTGTAGGTATTATCCAAACAAAAAATGTCCTCATAAAAGGCAAACACAAAGACTGAGGATGAAACGACTTCACCCAAGTACTAATGCAGATTTAAGCAGGTATGACTGAAAGAAAGAAGCATTCCCTTGTAATAAACAGCTGCAGGCTTTCTCAGTTTTGCTTTCTCCTTAGTCAGTGGGCTTAGTGATAGGGTCTTCTGTAAAAACAAACAAGTGAAACAAAGCCACGCACATACTCTGTTAACAAGAAAATCAAAATCTAAACACTGGTTTTTAACATTGGGTAGGTAAGGCCAACACCACCTCTTTCAGTCACTTTCTTTGTAGTTTTCATGTTCCTCCTCATAGTCACACTCCGGGAGTGAGAAGCAAGTGCACTAGATGCAGGGAATAATGTCAAGTTCCAGTCTTTTTTTAAAAAATTTTATTTTATAGGTACACTTCAGGTATACAATATAATGACATTCATCATTGGAAATTTGCACCTTTACATAGTCTCCCTTGGTTCTTATTTTTCCCCCTTCCCCTGCCCTCCCCTCAGCCCCTCCATCCCTTCCTATTTACAAAGACTTTGTTTCCATTTTTCCATTTTCTCATATTAATTCCATTTCCTTCTATAATAGATAATGTGAAAAAGGAAAGAAGAGAAGTTCTAGTTTTGTATAAAGCATCCTGTAACTTTCTACTTTTGGTATGGTCGCTTGACAATTAGAGATGTAACCACTTTGAAAAAATCATGAAATACATAAAGGAATTTGGAAACATATACCATGCAGGCAGTGGTCAAGCATTTTATGATTTAAATCCTTCCTGTCCCCATGCCTTAACTTTTAGTAAATTTTCTCTTTCATGATAATGAGGTTTAAGATTTAGTGAAAATTCACTATGCATCAAGACAACTGGCTCCCTCTCTTTCTTTTAAAGTTTCTTGGTTATGAAATATTATACACTTACTGGGGGAAACCCATACTGCTTAATAGATTATTATAAAGTGAATATCTATGTAATTAAAGCTTTAAAAAATGCCATTGCTAGCCTCCATGAACCACCAAATTAACTGGATTTGGGCAACTCATTTCCTTCCCTTGAAAGTAAACATTATTCTGACTTTATGATGATGACTTCGTTTGCTTTTCTTTATATTTTTTTGTACCTAAGTGCAAATGTGTAAATACTATAGTTTGCTTTGGGCTGTTCTGAAATTTTAAGTACCCAGAACCACAGGGACTCTTGTGTCTGACCTTGTGTCAGGGATAATATTCTTATTGTTGTGTACAGCTGTAGTGCTTTCATTTTTATTGGTGTTTCCCACTCTGAGCCCACAATGATTGATCTGTCCAATCTATTGTTGATAAACACTTGGTTTATTTCTAATTTGGTCCATTAAAATAATGTGGCTGTGAACAACCTTATACATTTTCTTTGGTGTGCATGAATATATGTTTCTGGTGGGTATGTTTTTAGGCATGTATGATTAGATCATAGGTTACGGACATATGCCATATAAGTGGATACTGCACAATTTGTCAAAGTGGTTGCTTTAATTTATACTTATTGCAGCAGAATTTGAGAATTTCCCTTATTCTACGGCCTTGCCTTCGGTTAGAATTGTTAGTTTAAAACACTCCAGCCAGTTTGAAGGTGTTTATTAGGGTTTTTCTAGCTTTAGTTTTATTCCCCTGATAGCTAATGAGCTCATTTTCAGATCTTCTGCTAGCCATTTGGATATCTTGTTTGTCAAAATGACGAATCAACACTTTCCTCGAGCATTGCACTAGATTTTTCTATCTTTTTTCTCATTAAGTATTGAAGTTATTTTTATATTCTGGATACAAGGCCTTTATTGGTTATATGCATTGCAAATATCTTTTCTTACTCTCTACTTTGTATTTTCAATGTCTTCATTTAATCTGATGAACAGATATTCTTAAATTTGTTATGATATTTATCAAACTTTATTTTATGGTAATAATGTGCTGTCTTCGTAAGTCTTCTACCCTGAGGTCATAAAGACATTCCCCACATTATCTTTTTAAGATTTTATTGTTTTGCCTCTCACATTTAGATTACAGTGTACCTAAAATTCATTTTTTGAGTGAGGTATAGAGTGGGGTCCAGTTCCATTATTTCTTGTGGCTGTCTAATGGTCCTACCGCTATGTATTGCAAAAGCCATTGTTACCCTACTACTCCACAGGGCCACTGTTGGAACCTGGATTTTTCCAAAGTGAGCCTTGAGGCAAATGCTTGCCTAGAGGATACATATTTGGCAACATACTCCCAAGTAGCAAGAGTACAAGATAGGGCAATGAAACAAGAAAACAGACGAAGCCAGCACAAAGGCATGTGATCAAACTGGTCTTTGCCATACTTAATTGGTGCTAAATCCTTTTAGGGTGCCTCATGAAATACAATTTAGAACTCTACCTGGGGACACGAGGAAGAAACACTTCTCCAGTTGGTTTCCTACTGGCCACAACTGGCTCCAGGGGCGTTAGCTCTATTACACTTCCAGGTTTTATGTGTGTGGAGGGCTGAGTGTGGGCATCTCATGCCTTGGCAATGGTGAGGTCTGAGGACAGGAAGAGAGAGATGCAATGTGGGTTGAAAGCCAGATGCAGTGTTTGCAAGATGCTCTTTAAGGCCAGTGCAAAGTAGGATGCTATAAAAAGTGACGGAGAGGATTTTGATATAGTTCATAAGATTTTGTTTATTGTAGTTTAGGATCTGATTTATCTACTTTGAAAGCATCACTATAATTACTAAGTTGGTAACCCTGAACTAAGTTTTGACACACAGTGGAACATGTTCTCCAGCCTTATTCTTCAAGAACCATATGGCTCAGCCCTTCACATTGGCCTTACAAGCCTTGCTGCTTACATTGCTTACAAGACTCTTCTCTCTGGGATCTGTAAGTAATAAACTGCTTCTGTTATTCCAGGTGTTTTGTTGAATTTTCTCCTGTGTGTCTCACCTGATCAATACACCTGACCTAACTTCTTTCCCAGTCAAGACTCTCCTGGAGAGGGTCTATCTTGGTAGAAATAAACTGGATACAAGTTTGTTGTCTAAGAATCACAAGGGGATCCAGTAATCTAATTGAGTTTCCTTGAGAATGACACCTGGTCATGGGCTCAGACACTTGAACATAGACTTTAGTTCTCTTGTGTGCAAGTTTATTTCCCCTTTCTCCTTATAACTAGGATGTAGCTCTTTGTGTCCTCAATCACATGTATTTATGGTTTATTATATGCTCCATCCTTGGTAGATCTTGGATTCCAGTTTTGTCTCCTTAGCACTAAAGAGTCATTGTAAGTGCTACTCATCCTTTCATCTGTCTCTTCAAGGTGGAAAAATAGCCCATAGGCAAATACCAAGGCTGAGCTCAACCATCTAGATTTCCATCTTCTCCTGAATCTTGGTTCCATAGAGATCTTCCTTATGATGCTGTTAGCTCTTTCACAGATATCCTTCAGAAGATGTCTTTTATATTTTTTTTCGCAGAAGTTTTAGTTAACTGGAGACCTGAGGGTTGGTTTTAGTGAACAAGTCTGCTTCAACTGAGTGCAAACATCCAGAATTCTTTGGATATCTTGGCAAGACAGGTATTAATCTCCTTACCATAAACTGAAGGAACAAACCTGTCTGACTTCAAAATTCTTCTTTTGAAGTTTGCATGTCTTTCTATATTCTCCACCATCTTTGTTTACCATGTTGAGGAGTGTGTTGAGCTATGAGTTGAGTTCTACCAAATATGGAGAGAATGAATGCTATTTAGGGATTGTCTAGTAAGGTTTGCTATTGTAGATGAGTTGACTGACTGTATCATGTTGTATTTTTTTATCATGTGTATTTTTAAGACAAAGTTGTTTGGGATGAGCATTAAGCAATAGAGATGCTTTTTACTGAAACACATAAATATCTTTTATTCTAGACAGGCTTATTGGACACTGGCTCCATCTTATTTTTTGCATTACTTCTCACGTAGAGAAAATATTAATTCCTTATATTCATGCTTAAATTGCTTTATGTGATGCTTTAAAATGTATGTACCACTTGGCATACTCTTGTGAAGGAAACAGGATGGGATCCACATATTACTTATGAGAAAAAAATTCAGAGAGACCAGTTCATTAGCTCAGGACTACACAGCTAGTAATGGGAATGTTTAAAATCTGTTCCAGTGACATTTTTCTTTTCTGTTAAATGAATGATTTTATCAATTTTTATAACTATTAATTTGAGTACTATTTTCCACTAAAGATAAATATAATTTCTGTGTGTTTGTATAGTGTTATAGGAATGCTGAGATGCTAGTCTTTGGAGAATAGTAAACTATATTCAAATCCCTACAGAGTAACTAACCAGTCACCAGAATTTGGGAAAGCTACATAATGACATTATGCCTCAGGACATTCACCTGGAAAGCTGAGATTAAAAATATTTAATCTAGTTAAGTATTGTTTTGAAGGCTAAATAAAATAA